CCCCAAAACCCCAAAACCCCAAAACCCCAAAACCCCTAATTAATATATATTTATAGAATTAGGAGTATGAATCTCTGTTGTCACAAGTTGGAGAAAGCTATTCGACATCTTTCATTTTCTTCTTACTCTCAATTGCTTGAATAATCTTGTGCTTCTGAGGAATCTGGAACTTCTTCTTTTTCTTCTGTTTCACATTCTCATCTTCTAGAGTAGCACTTTGGTATATTATCATCGACTTTTTGAGTGATAAGGAAGGGCTGAAGCCAATTGTTTGCTTCTAGAAAAGTTATACGTATGTAAGAACAGCTTTGAAAATCTAAAATTAGTGGTATGAAGCGACAATTTAGCCTCAATGTGAAGGAATTTACCTTATCTGGACTCTCTGAAACATCAGTTGTCAGGTCTTTAATCGCACTTAGGAACTCTGCTTTATATTTTAACTTCTTGAGAGATTTAGAGTTATTTTAAAGCAAGCAAACGGGATTTTCTCAAGTCGTAATCTCCCGGTTCAAAAGCAGATTGGGAAGCTCTATGAGAGGGATCTTGAGAAATTCTTGGTTGAGCTAGAGTGTCGATCCTTGCTCTATTAAACTTTTTGGGAGGTTCTCTGATCTCTTGAATTATATCATTACAGTTCCGGTTAGCTATAAGTTACTATTTGATACATACACGAAAGCTTAGACTGTTCTAACTCTTGCAAATTTCTAATTGAGACTGCTTTTCTGAGTTTAAAAGCTCGATTTCCCTTCTTCTTAGGGGAGAACTTCTTTACTTTGGCACCTCTGTGCGTTAGTGTATTAAATCAGGCAAGGTTTGGCAAACTCTCATCTTCCCTTTGTAGCTTAAATGGAGGAATAATCTCAGGACTAAAAATGACTGCAAAGCATTACAACTTATTTTCTCTGATCTTCGACTTTGCTTAATAAATTCAGATTTTCCTCAAATGAAGATGTTTTGTACATTCTTCTTACAGATTGTCTTCCTTTTTCTGATAAGATTCCTTCCTCTTTGATTACCTCTTTCATCATCTTATCAAACCCATCTTGAAGGAGGTGCTTATATTTATTATTCATGGATCTTTTCTTAGACGAATCGAGGAATGTAAGGTCTGAATGCGAAGTCCTATGTCCAATCACCGGTAATTTTTTCGAGTTAGAATTTCTAAATCTCACCTAAAATGTCAGCATAAAGTGTTACTACCCTCTTAGATGGACTCTTAGAGCCTCTCTTCAGCTTTACATTGTCTTCGGCCTTCATAGTTTGGTCGAACACAGGCTTCCTAGTGTAAAAGATATTTCTATAAATGTGGATACGATCAGCTAGGATTTCAAGCTTGCGATAGAAGTCACTCTTGAGCTCTTTGTCTTTACTGAGAAGGATCGCATGCTTGACATTCTCATCGAATTTCTCAAGCTGTTTCATGAGCATTTCTCGTTCTTTATTCCTGATCTTCTCATCATTCTGGTGAGACCTTTTGTAGATCTGAGGCATCTCTGGGACAGTAATGTCTGAAGGCAATAAAGCCGAGTTCTGTGAGAACAGGTTCATAACCTCTTGGTTCCACCCGGATGGCGAGGTGTTCCCTAGATTTGTTTCTTAAATCCTTGAAGAATCTTACTTGAATTAGGATCGTTTTGTGAATCAATACTTGTCCTAGTCGATCTAATACAGGTTAGGCTTTAAAATTCGAAGAATAAGTATAGTGAGCTTTTGGCAGCCAGTCCAGATTTTCAAAGGGAATTCGATTTTTACAAAGAATGAGGATATTGGAAGTGGAAAGAAAGTTTAACATTTTTTCATTTTTAAGCATGATTTAGCTGGTTATAGGAAGTTAAAATTATTTATTTTGAGAATTATAATGAAACAAAAGATATGATATTTTATTTAAAGAAAAATACTTTGATAATATCAAGATTTCTCAATTGAAATTTCATAATTTTATTTAAAATCCTATCTATTAAGAAATCCAAGCAAATAGGAATGCCGCTTGAGAGCAATTTATATTCTGTACTCTAATAAACAGATTCTCTAAAATACTATTCCCCTTACTATTGACGTAATTCCTAAGAAGGCATGTATTACGCATCAAGGTTGAACATAAACCGCCCTTTGGTACTAAAACCCATAATTCAGGTGAAAATATTATCTGAGATCTCACGAGCCAGCAAAAATAGGTGAGAAAATCTCTGAGACTCCTGGCTATAAGTAAAGCAAGACCTAATGAACAAATCTAGCTGATTCCCTTAGTATTTTCTGCTTACATCGCAAATTTCAGGTGAATTTTTACTAGAAGAATCTCCAAATGTGGATTTTGAGAGGAATTTAATTCTTACCCGATGTCTTTAGAAGTGATGTCTGCGTACAAGTCTATTTTACCTAAAAAGAAAGTTATGAGAAGCTACAAATGAGGACATTTAGGAACAAAATTGGTTTTTTAGGTGAAACTAGGGCTTGCATTATCTCTGGTTAGACAGGCTGAAGTTGAACAAGTTGGGATAGGAAGTATTATTATGTACTAGTAAAAATGACAAACTTTAGAGATACTTCAAATCCAGCCTTGGATTTCTTGCAAAGAGGATGGAAATTGTACCTCATGAGGCTCGTATAAATCATTTAAGCTTGCTTTACCAACTTTGCAGTTATAAAAATTTATTCATGAGTCTAAGATAAGTAGGATGAGGGTTCTTATAAAATCATATAGCCTCACATTAATGTTAATTTAAACCCAATAGGAATGCTGAAATTTAGCAGACTTCACAAATTGATCACCAATAGGACTGAGTTAATAATCCCTGGGTCAAGACCGAATGGATTCAGGGTCGTTATCACCTCTCTTTTGTGTAAAATCTTATCATCCTCACTTACTTGAGCTCATTTTGGATTGAGGAATAATTAAAATATAATCAATTAGTATTACTTCTTCAGGGGTTTTGGGGTTTTGGGGTTTTGGGGTTTTGGGGTTTTGGGG